CGTTTTTCAAATAAATCCGAATTGGAAAACTCGTAAACGGATATTCTGTTGAATTCGATCATTCAGTCACTCCTAAATTCTTCGAAGTGATTTTTTGCATTCAATCCGATTAAATGAAAGGATGTGGTTACGTGCGAGGATGAGAGATTTTTTTTCAATTTTATGCAGCGATAATTCGTTTAGTTCTCACATTTCCAATTTTTAATTTTCGAAATTGTGTAATTATCTCAAGACTGAGTGATTTTAGGGGGAAATGTCAAAATATCTTAGTTATGGCTGATAAAATTTCCAACAAAAAATGTCTTGTGATATTTTGTCCTAAAGTCTTTCGTTTTTCAGATAAATCCAGATTTAAAAACAACCCTCGTAAACCGATGGATTCCAACTTATTCTGTTAAATTCAAATATTTATTCTTCACTCAAAAGAAAATTGAAAATAATCTGTCGGATAATCCGAACAAATATTCGTGCGCGAGACAAAATATCGTCATCACAATTATTTGAGAATTTCCGGAATTAATTTCTCGAGCATATAAGACGAATTTCGATGTCACTCCAAAGAAATTCGATATCTCCGCATCATCCCACGTGCGAACCGCGCCATAAACCACCGATGGGTAGCATCATCTCCCAGGAGCAGATTGCCAGTAACGAGATACTCAGCTGTGCCCCATCCCCATAGGAAGAAACAACAACGATAAAAACATAAAAACGGACGCCTGCATTGTTATTCCTCTGATGTCCCTATCATCTCCATTCTATAAATACGGAATATATTCTCGGATGGACGGAGAAAGAAATCCAATTCGTTTAATGATCGCAGTCGAAACGAATGAGAAAATTCGGTGATGATAACCCAAAGCCCTGAAAGTTATTTTTTTCCAATTTAAACAAAACAGAATTAAAAAAAAAGCTGGAGTTCCCTCAACAGAATTTTAATTAAATGAATGAGGAAATTCGGTGCTGATAACTCAGAGCCCTTGAACGCCATTATTTTATTTTTATTTTATTATTTTATTTTTTGATAAACAAAGTAGAATAAAAAAACCGGAATTCCCTCAACATAATTTTAATTAAATGAATGAGAAAATACGGAATTTCGGTTCTGATACCCCAGAGCCCTTGAACGTTACGACTTTAAATTAAAAAATAAAAATAAAGCAGAATAAAAAACTTTGAATTCCCTCAACACAATTTTAATGAAACAACTGAGAAAATTCGGTGCTGACAACCCAGACCCCTTCAACCCCATTCTTTCAATCCTTCTAATAAACAAAGCGGAATAAAAAAATCTGAATCACCACAACTGTAATCCAATCACTGAACACACGAGACTATGAACACAATTGAACACAAGATGAATCATTTTGAAAAATAATTTTTTTTAATGAACTTAGAATGGCCCGAATTGTTTAATTACGGAACGGGAACATGTTTTAGTCTTATGCACATGAGAGAACTGTCAATCTCCGGGAAGCACGTGTGTGCCCCGCGCTATCCCGTATCCCACTACCACGAGGCGACTAAAAACTGTACATTCATCCACATCCCCACAACGTAGCCTCGGGGTTTCCTACTCCCTCATTCCTCTGCTTCTTGAAATACTTTTTTGCTCCACTCAAGGGGGAGGGGGAGGGGGGGGGGGCGGATTATTATCTCATTGGTAACGTCTACACTATTACGTAGAGAGAACTCGCGAATGACGAGAGACGCTCGTGGATTATTTAGCGACAATGCAGGAATTACGAGTTGAGAGGGTGTATGCATATGCTTGAGGATTATAATTGCCCACGCATCTTCGAGCTCTCGGTGACACACATAACAGTTCTTGGGAATTATATCGCGCGGTTGTAATTCATTAAGAGAGTTGATTGGATTAATGGAGGGATGGGGAGTAGTTGAGATTAATTGGGGGGGGCGGGGAGGAGAGGAAATCATAGAATTTCGAATTTCACTGGATATTTCATAAGAATTCCCCAAATTCTAGTGATTTTCGAGGAATGAGGGAAGTTAAACTGACGGTTTCGATTTACTTGGCGAATTTTTCTATTCACTTGTAGAATTTTTAATTTTTAATGGGGAAATTCTTTGAATTTCATGGAGAGTTGACTCGGAATTTTTAGGAGGGAGAGGTTGAGTTAATTTGGGGGGAAAGTGATGAAATGTTGGATTTCACTGGGAATTTAATGAAACCCCAAATTTTCCAGCAGCTGGAAGGCGAAAATTCCCCAAATTACAATGAATTTTCCTAATTTCTATTGATTTTCATGGAGTAAGTGGACTTAAATTAACAGCTCCCACTGACTTTTCTACAAAATTTTCAATTTTTTGACTAACAATTTTCCGGAATATCCCGGAAATTATTGAGAAATTATTGAGAAAGTCTGCTAAATTCCCTAAACCATTGACACTCTAACATTTTGGTCATAAAGTCACCAAGTATCTAAACAGTACGTTGTTAATAGTCAATTAATTTTTCATTTTGTTTGAATTAACAAGATTCATTTTTACTTAATTATTATCAATAAAAATAAAAATGTGAAGAATTTTAATGAAATTAATTTCGTAAATATCTCGGGAATTATTATTATTATTGAAAATAAATGTGAAGAGAATTTTTTTGTAGCCCTCAAAATTCCCTGCAAAATCTCCAATTTCCATAATTGTTAAATTACCCGAATAATTTCAAGCAAAAAATGTCGACCATTTGCAACCATTTTCCCAACCACATTCATGAAATATTCTGCAATTCCAAGCCTTGAATTTCAATTCAATTCATAAGAACAAATGAAAAAAAAACCCTCGTAATTTCCTTTCAAGCAATTGATGCTAAACACTATTTCTGATCTTTACGACTCCCATGACATCACACAGAAAATGTTCACAAAGATTCCTCCAATAGTATCTCAACTCCACCCTCAGGATAATTCTAGAACACTAGGCCAACTCTCAATTCGTCCCTCCTCATTCCTTCATCCCATGAATTCTTTCAGAAGCCGACGTATTTCGTTTGAAATGTTCCCCCAAAGTGGGGGCGGAGGGTCGCCGTCTGCTGCTGTACTCAGCCTCCTTGCCAGATTTTTAAAAGGAGCGTTCAAGGGGGGAAACACATGTGTTCAAACACTCGAGCAATTTCGGCTGTCGAGTGATAAATATTTATGTCGATTTACCCGGAAAAGCATTCCCACGAGGTCTCGATTGTTTACGGAATTTGTCTTTATTTTTTTAAACGAGAAAAAATAGAGGACGCGGAATAGTGCCCCGAGAAATTCGTCAGATGCATCTTTCTCGTTTCGTTCGGACACGACAAAGTGCACTTGTCACAGCAATCTCTGTGAGATCTATGAGATCATGCGATTCAGTTGCGTAACAACTGTATATTTCAGATCTTGTTGAGCATTTTACCGCCTACTATCAATAGTTAACGGCCCACGTCCTTCAATGGGAGAATGAACTTTTGCATTGTCCTCGGGTATCATCAGGGAATAATTCAAGCATTACGATCGATTGGTAAACGCCGAACAGATTATTCTAATGAATTTGCAATTCAAGGTTTTCTGGAATCGGGGGAAGACTTTTGTTGTGGGAGATGTGGGGGTTTTATTGCTCCCAATGGCGATTTTATGTCCTCGAAAAATCATTAAATAGTAGTTGTGAAAATGAGAAATGAATTATTGATTCATTTCTCATTTTTACTAGCATTTTGACAACTCTCCTTGTGTTCTCTCACTTGCAGTTCAAAGATCTCGATGTAATATTGGCTAATCTTTCGAAGAAAGTAAAAATGTTTATGCAAAATGTAAAATAAATAATGACAATGAATTTTCCGTCATTGATTCGTAAATCGTCAAGTTATGCTTTTGCATTTGATGAATGCATTTGATAAATTTGGCATTTTGCTCGTAAAAAAATTCCTTTCATCTCTAGTTTATTCTTCCTGAATGAAGCAAAATAACAACTTCCCAGAAGTATTATTACACCGTCTAATCGTGGACAAGTAACAATAATTGATAAGAGGAGTAACGGGGTCAAGGAAGCTGACCCATGTCCAAACTGTCTCAGAAGTCCTCTCGGCATCATTGTAATTTGTGTCGAAAATAAGAGAATTGTAATCTGTCGAGCGTTATAACACGAGAAATGACACAAGAAGCGTATGCCACTCGGTCATGATAAGAAGTGCGTACTCTGTGGAGCACCGGAAGAGTTTCCACTTAAAGCGCAATCGCCCAGAGTAATGGTATGTCTTCTTTTACTAGTGAACCGAGAATTTTAGTGAATGTCGACTTTATGAATCACGGCATTGAGTACTTCTTGCTTGTGGGATTATTTATGGCTTATGGGGGTGAAAGGGTATGGTGATTTCATCAGACTGACTCATATTTTTAATATTTTCATCGGGAATTGGATGGAAAATAACGGAAAATCGTGAATTTTTGGGAAGTTCGAAGATTTTTACTGTTTAGTTCATGAATAATAGCGGAAACATTCAGGATTTTATTTGAAATATTTTGTGAATTTTGAAAATGTTAGGGGTTCATTGAGAATTTGATGGAAAAGCAAAAATTGTTGGGAATTTCAACGTTTTTTTGTGTTAATTTTATATCTCAAAAACGTTGAGTTTAGAGAAAATATTGAGCATTTCTTGTAGAGAATAAAAGTTTTAATAAAATATTGTGATTTTTTTTTCTAATTTTGAACGTTTCAAACAGATTTGGATTTTCTCAAATTTATAATTCGTAAATTTTGTCCAGAAATAAGTGACATAATTTTCAGAAAATATTTTTTAAAGAGAATTAAATTCCTTTCGAAAAGTGTTTTTTTATTTTTTTCCTCTAAATCTAACAGGTCCAGGAATATTTACAAAATACTCTTCACGTAAATGTAAAAATGTCAACAAATTCCAAAGATTTGATTCTCAACAATTACTTTTAGAGGAAAATACCAACAGAGCGTTTCAACCCACGTCACGCATTTAAAAAAATTAAGAAAAATGGACAAACCTTTGTAGAAAAAGCATCTTCACACTCAGTGCAGAACAAATTCTCCTCCTTCTCGTGGACGAGAATATGTGCCTTGAGACTAGCCATTCTGGCGAATTTCCTTCCGCACTCTGGACACTTTGGCTCCCCTGTGTTATGCATCGCCATGTGAAGCGTAAAATTCGACTGCAAAGTAATTCGTTGAACCGAGTTATCAGACTGTGTCGCATTGCCTCTAAATATTTTCAATAGAAATTCAGATATAAATAAGTCTCACCGGTATGTTGAACGAGGCAGGGCACTTGGGGCAACGGTGGGGTTTCTCCTCAGCGTGATGCTCCATGTGTTTTTTGTACAGCATTTGCCTCTTGAATTCTTCACCACAAATTTCACACTTAAGCTCATTTGCCTACAATATAAGAAAAACAATTTTTGTAATTAAAAAATTAAGACAACAAAATGTCAATTGAACTCTAAAACATTTTTTTTTATTAAATATCCTTAAATGTAATGCAATTTTTTCGAAATAAAATCAGAAATTATTGTTAATTAACGAATGATGGAAATAAAAATGAAATAAAAATCATAACAAAAGGTACAGTTTCGTTATGCAATTAATTGATTAATAATATTCTTCTGATTTTTGTACTCACAACAGCCGAGGCATCAGAATTTTTCTTGGGTCTCCCAGGCCCCTTCCTGCGTCTCTCAGGTAGATCAGCAACACTCTTACCTAAATCACTAGATTCACTGGGAATGATGTCAATAATTTGGCTATCATGCTCCCTCACATAGGTTCTCTCACTTCCCCGCACAAGTGCATTCTCACAGTTCTGTGGTAGTAATGCTGCGTGTTGAATACCAGACCCACCAACGAGACCCTCAAGGTTAATTTGAAACAATTGGGAGTTTCCTGCATTCCCATTATTGACCTTCAATGTCGATGGTGAGAGAACAGTCCCATTCTGGTGCATAAGGGAGACTGGGGTTGTCAATAGCTCCAAGGTACCCTCTTCGGAACCTGCAGGTCATTTTACCATTCTCATTAGCATTCTTTGACGTTGACACTACATTTTCTTCATGAAATGATATATAACACCCAATGGAGTCCTCGTATTTTTCATGAGTTGATTAAGACAAAACTAATGATGGTATTAATAAACAGATAAAAATGGTTTTAGATTTCATCCATCAAGTATAATGAATTCTCGAGGATTTTTTTGTCGATTTTTAGTATTCGGATTCATTTAATCAGTCAAATTTTTCGAGATTGTTAATACCGCTGACCTGAACGTGGCCCAAAGGAATTTTAGTAATTAGATAAAAATAAATTGAAGAAGAGAAAAATCAACACATGAAACGATAAAATGGAATGTACCATCTCCATTACGGTTCAAACTGGAAAATGTTTAATTTCTAATAAAAACGTTTTTTTAAATCTAATTTATTAAGGCAAAGTGGGGTAAAGGGCCCCTTTTGACTTTTTTTGTGATGCTCATAACTTAGAAACAAATTCATTAATTGAGATCAGGCTCATTCTAAAGGAGAAGAAGGGTAGTTTCCATGGAAAAAAAATTATTCCATTTCATTTAAAATTGAAGGAGCTGTTAACATTTTTGAAAAAATCAAAAGGGGCCATTTTACCCCACTCTCCCCTATTTGTATAATTTAATTAATTTATAAATTTAATTCCACACGATCAAATTACACCTGTTGAATTGCACACAAAAAATTGAGAATTGAAAATTGAGACGTTTGAATTATACAATTTTAAATTAAGATTGCACAATGAGCAATTGGGTTGTTACACTTTAATTCAGTAGAATTCAATATGTATATCGTGTAAGTAGAATGTGAGGATTGCAATCTCTTAGGCAAGATCTCAATCCAAAACATCAAACGTGTCAAGAAATTAAAAAACTTCATTGAGTTCCACAGGTCACTCAATCAAGAAATGGCCTGGAATGCTGTGATTTTTGTCTAAAAAAAATGCAAAAATTCCTTAAAAACATAGTTTATCGGTGGGGGCTAACCTGTCACCGCTAAAAGTGTTCTCCCATCCTCAGAAATGACAAATCCCAGAGATATAGCGTCGACAGCAAGAGACACTGTCTCAGCAGGTGGCGGCTGCCTAGTCAACATCTTTGTTTATTTACCCTGATGACAGAAAATTTTTTTTCAGCATCAAAAACAATTTTCCATTCATGAAATCAACGTGACGAGACCATCCGGTCTTTTTCGAGCACCAAAATGGTCCTTTTGGGGATGTATTTGTCATTTGTAACGTTGATAACTTGATGATAATTTAATTGTTTCTAGATTTGGACTTTTAAAGATTCATTTGACATGTGATTATGACAGTCGAGACTCACCTCGTCGATTCTATCCGATTTTTCTCGAGTACAATGTCGCGATTCACTCATAATTACAGTGTTATGAATGATCTGGGGATTGGGGCTTTCGGAGTAATTGATACACCTCGAGAAAACAATTATGATAAATTATGCCAAATCGTCAGGTAGGTGGACGACTTAAAGGGGCGATTAGAGTGAACGACAGGGGCCGACATTTTGTATTTCTGCTGCGCTGCAATCGTTCTGCGCATACGCAGAATTCGACGTTCAAATTTAAAATTTCTTCATGAATTGCACATGAATTGTACAATTGTTCATGAATTATTCGTTTCTCGAGAATTTCGCAAAAAATAGATGTAGCAGCATTCTAAATAAATTTTTTTTGGAATTGATAACACGATGCCTGCTAAAACCTACGAGGGAAAAACGAAAATTACAAATTTAAAAGCAATGTTGAAGTGACAATTAAGGTGAACAGAGAAAACAAAATATTTTTTCCAAATATTCATGTACTTGAGAGAACCATTTATTTTTTCATATTTTTTTTTATTTAAGCAGTTTTAAACTTGAAAGTTTACTCTGCTGATTTTTCATAATCGTATTTCTGGAATTGAATAATTCCCAACTCCTCCAATGATTATTCATCTTTCGTATTAAATTTCATATTTTCATAGGGAAGAATTTCGAATAATTTTTTGATGTTTATAATTATTGAGGGAGTTCACTCAACGTCATAACTAACCTGATCATTCTTTAAAGCAACATAATAGTCATAACTGGAACCTAATGAGAATGGCCTGGGAATGACTCGCCTGGGGAAATACAGTATTAAAAAAATGAATACTTCTCTCAAGTAAACGGATACTTCGAAAAAATATTTTTTCTCTTCGGAAGTCCATCGTCTCGTCGTTTCATTTTAGTTATATTATTGTCACCGGTTTATCAATTCAAACTTTTATAAAAACCCGAAAGGGGAGGCATGGAAATAAATTACCCTCTAGTCAATACTAATGGTCATTTTATTTTCCTTCTCTCATTATCTTCGATCGTAGTCTATCAATTACACTACAACAAAACAGAATGATTCCCTCATTTTTTTCGACATGAAAGCTGCTCAATCTAATGATTACAAGTCTTGAATAATTATCAGTCTTGACAGCGCAAATTTCACGAACGATCATTTTCCAAAACAATTCTATGTATTCTATCTTCACCATCTTCAACCAAATCCCCCCAAAAAATAGAAATTACTTCACTCGTGTGAGTGATTCCATCAAGAAAACGAATCGTCTCCTCATGAACCTCACAATCCCCCGATTGTCGCTTTACTTTACTTGAGAGAATTCTCCAGATCCTTGAAGAATTTCCCTTCATCGAACTCCCTCCCCTCGATTTTCCTGAAGATAGCAGCCTCCTTCTCCCTAGCGGAGTTTCTCGCCTCAACCGAGTTCATGGAGCACTGGGAAACCACCTCCTCCTCCCCCTCGCTCTCGCTCGACAAAACAATGATGGAACTCGGGTCCATGGGATCCAGCACGACGCTCCCCATCCCCGAGACCCCAGGAATCACCCTATCAATGCTCAACCCTTTCTCCAGGCCCGAGGCCACCCCCTTGGGGTAATTGACGAAAGAGGGAGACTTGACCGTCTCCCTGGCCTCAGAGGAGTCATTGGTGCTGCTCGCAGGCGTCTTCTTGACAGTCTTCGACATGAAATAGTACTGATGAGAGCCCCCAGGACTCCCCTCGTTCTCCTCCTCGTCGTAAATGTTCTTGGCCATGTGCCTCAGGTGGCTGTACTCCGGGGGGAAGAACGTGTTCTCCCCGACGGGTCTCAGGAACTTGGGAAGTGAAGCTATGACGGCCGGGTCGTACTGCTGGGAGGACCCTGGCACCGGCAAACTGCAAACCTCTTTGGTGCTCGAGAATTGCTGCGAAGAGAGTTGTCTCATCGACGGAAAGAAGTGGTGAAAACTCTTCGGTATCATATCCTTCTGGCTGCGCTTCCTCTTGACGATGGAACCGTGCTTTGTCGTCAGGGACTGGAGTTTACTGAGGCTGTCCTCCTTGGAATCTGGAGAGAAACGAATTTGGGTTTATTTGAAATTCTATCGGTTTTCTATTGAACTTCCGTGGTTTTTTTTTCTATTTTATGGAAAATGTGGCGTCATTTGTGACAGTAGTCAGTGGCTGTCAGATCGTGAGGTACCATGGTAAATTATCCATTCAGTATTTTCTCTCTAGCGGAATTAGTTCGTAATCTTTATTGAAAACACTGTTTGAAAATGTTCAGTTTTGTTTCTACTTTGTTTTATTGTACTGACTCCTGCGTGATGGAAAAACAATGGAGATAACGCTCGAAAGGTAATCGACCCGGGCCTTAAATATATTCATTGAAATTTAAAAATAGTAAAGGAGAAATTTGCGGGCGGCTGTATCTTTTTACATGGTCTTCCCTTTCCTTCACTGAACATCATAGTTTTTCATTGTATATATTTATATAGGTATATTGGAAGAATTCGGGATTTCGCAGCCTCTCGTCATGATAAGACGTTTTTAATAATCACGATACGATTGAACAAACGTTCAACATATTCATTCATAACGAAATCGTCACATCCAAAAACCCTTGCGAATTTTAACAAAAATTTTATCTAGTTCGTGCAATAATAACCAACCGTCAGTATTTTGCCCACCAGCGTTAAGGATCCCTCAAAATTGTAATTTATTTCTAAAAAAAAATGGAGAATTTTCAAGAAAAATCTTGAATTTGCGAGAAAAATCCATAATTTTCTAAAAAAATCTAGAATGTTCTAGAATTCCGATAGATGGCGCCACTGCTGATAAGGAACCGTAAGGACTTTTTCCCTAAATGCCCCCCCATGATGATCTAAATGATAATCTAAATATCCAATTGATGATGAATTGCATATTTGATAATATGGAACGGTAAATTTTCTATCAAGTAAATAACATTATATTTCTTCAAAGGGATTTCCGATTATCCAAACAATCGCCAATCTTCGTAACGAAATTATCGATCAATAAATAATTCGGAATTCGAACATTAAAATTGACGAATAGTTCAATAATTTACGAGTGATATTAAGAGTAATTATCATTCATGAATGTGGCTGTTCCTACCTTCCTTCGAGGATTTGATGAAGCTCCCACAGGAGCTAAAACTCGAGCTCGAACTCAGTAATCCTGTCTTGATGCCCTGCTGACTTCTAGGGATGAAGAAAGGCGACTCTGGATCCTCGGTCAGGCACTTCTTCAAGAAGCACTTCTGAGGGACTTTGAAGGGTGAATTTCCAGGCGCTGGCGGGGGGTTCATCGTCCTCAAGGGCTGCCTCCCCGACGTCGATGGGCTGGGCCTCGAGGTCTCCTCGAGTTTCGGGAGTTTAGCCTCTGGAGACAGCGCCACTGAATTTTCAGAGAACGTCACCTGGCGTTTGGTAGTCTTCTTCGAGCTCTCAGGGGCTAATTTCAGTGCAGATGTTTGCTTGGAGCTACTGGTTCTGAGGGACTCCTGGGATCTCGTCGAGGCGTTGGAGGTCGTCGAGCTCTTGGGGCCTGCGCTGTACAGTCCTGAGGATTTTTCGCTGGTCTTGTGCTGAGAGAGAGGTTTCGGGGTCTCTGGAGGGAGTTCCCCGTAACTGATAGCCTCCAGACCCCGGACCAACGCGTAGAGCTCATCATCTGAGACCTCGTAGTTGTTCTCCAGTTTGTTGTAGACTCCGGCTAATTTGTCGTAATTTCGCTGGAGTTTGGATTCCCCTGGGGACTGGGGGGCGGCTGGAGGTGTCTGAGGCTGATTCAACTCCATTGACCCTCGAATTTCCTGAGCAAACCTGGCAGGCAACACCACAAATTATTACACAAACATGATTAAATACGAAAATTAAACACGTGATGAGTAAAGATAATAAATTCCAAAATAATTTATTTAAATCATGTGTTTAAAGGACCTTTATTTTTACGTACGAAAAAATTTAGGGTAATTTCCTTCGAGAGAAGTGATCAATGGAGAAATGTTGTACAGAAAAAAAATAGAATTCGATTTTTCTGTTTAATTTATTCTGTTGGAATATTTTCTCCGGAAATTTCTCTCCTCTAATTGTCTGATTTTTTCCTTCATTTTTTCATGAAAAGAGAAGAACTAAAAGTGGAAAAAACAGAACTTCCATATAGACAAATTCTTCTGCGCTTTTTCAGTAAAAATGATAAAATTCTACTGATATTTTTCTATTAAATAGTTCCTATTGGACATTCCTTCAAAAAACCCCCAGTAGAGCTCCGAAATTCCTCAATAGAATCGTCCAAACACCAGACATCAGCACAATCATAATTTTTAATTACAGTTGAATTTTGAATAAGTCAATTGTTAATATTACCCGTGAATTTTTCCATAAGTAAAAATTCGATTATTCTAAGGTGCAACTTCTCATGATATTACTAAAATAATGATTGATGCCATTTCTGCCAAAAGAATTGGAATTTTCACTACAAGTTGACTAAAAATCCAACAGGATTTTCTATCGAATTCGCAAGGTTTCGCGTATTGAGTTGTCCTCGTGTTGAATTGCCAGGTAATCACCTGTGAGCATCCGCCAGGACGTCCTCAGGAAGTCCTGTAGCTCGAGCCAGGACCAGCCCATAGTTCTGGATCTTCTGGACCCCTCGCTTCACTTTGTGGGTGTAAACCAGACGAGCCTCCTCGGGGCGATCTATCCCATTCGGAATCGCCTCGAAGTGGTGGTTCGTCGCATTGGGGTACAGATCGGCCAGCTTCAAGAGGTACTCGAAGTGCGTGGCGCTGAAGGTGAAGGCTTTCGAGAGCAGGAGCTTCTTGGAAATTGCCCAGGCGATTGACGCACCCTCCTCCACTGTTGTACTTCGGCAGAGCTCGTCGAGGATTACTAGGGAGTTTGGGGTGAGGGACTGAAGGATGTATTGGGCTTCTTTTATCTGAAAGTAATTTAATTAATTTTAAAACATTTTTTGATGATTTTAATCCACTAATTTCAGAGATGTTTATGAAAAAATCTGCCTCAAGTTCAGTAGTGTCTAAAGTAAATTGAAAGTTTATGTTGTAAATATTTCTAAATTCAATAACACGCAAGAAAAAAATTGGTAGAAAAACCTAGCGAATTCGCTGGATAATTCTGTTGGATTTGCTTTGAACTTTCTGTCAGTTTTTGGCCGATTGTATTAAAATGGTCAATAGAAAGTATTAGTAGAATTTTTTTATAAGAATGCTTGGGCATCAATTTTCTGAGTTTTTTACACTCGGACTTTGTAATGCAAAATAAAAAATGAATATAAATAATTATTTTTGCAAAATAAAAAATAATCCAGCGGAAAAAAACAGAAAATTTGTGCCCAATAATTCTGATAGAAAAAATCTCAAGAGAAAAATTCGAATAGAAATTCAAAACACATTGACTTTTTCCTGTTAAATATGCAATAGAATCAGCGCAAAAAGCAAGCAGAATCCTATAGAAACCCCATAGAATTCCTACAGAATTCCAATAGAATTTTCTATCGAATTCGCTAGGTTTGCTATTAAACTCTTTCACGCGTGCGATTCCGAATGAATTATTCATCAATTAACTTCTCATTGTGAAAAACCTTGTTGAAACCATTCATTTTTCCTGCATTTTTATTTGTGAATTTAAACCTGACCCTTGTGACCGATTGGTTTCGAGTCTCAGTTTTGTGTGTTACTTTCTGTAGAAAACCCTATAGTGAATTCAATAGGAAATCCTATAGAAAATCCTATAGGGAATCCCACCAGAAAAATCCTATAGGAAATGTTCGAATTCTCCATAGGATATCCTATAGGAAATATTATTCTATAGGATTTTTTCATACGTGAATGAAAGTGAAAAATGGTGAGGTTTTACTATTCTGGCACCCATGGAAAACAATAAGCTGTTCTACTTGAATAAAAAATCCAACCTCCAGCATGAAAGTCGACGCATTAAACTCGATATCATCCCTCGCCCCGAGCCTGCAAAAAATGTGATCAGTAATTCTGAACTGGGCCTTGGTGGCAGGCACGAAGCAGCCAATTTGCGCCATAATATGAAGCAAGACAATCTGCTTCAGATAAATGGTCTTCCCCCCCATGTTGGGTCCAGTGATGGTGTGAAAATTGTAGGCAGTCGACGCGACGGTGTCGTTGGGGGTGGGGCTCTCGGTCCCCAGGATGTCCATCACCGGGTGTTTACCATCCCTCACTTCCAGGCTGGCTCCAAACGTCGGCCTCACGTAGTCGGAGATCGAGCTGATGGTGGCCAGGGAGAGGATCACGTCCATCTCGGCGACGTCGTCATTGAACTGGAATAGACAACCCATTCGTCCCTTTATCGCCTCGAACATGTGACCCATGACGGTGTTGCTCATTAGGTGGATCTCGACACATGCGTCCTTGCAGTGCTGATTCTTGACGAAGAGCTCTTGAGTCGTCATGTAGACGGTTCCGCCTTTTATGTGTGCCTCGATCAGCTCTTGGGGCAGTCTCTCAAGTTCAAATTTGTAGTTTCGGGGGAGCTTCATCTCTATGTGATATCTGGTGGGGGGAAATTTTCAGGGTTTATTTCCCCCAGAGAAATTGTTTCGCATGATAATAATATTATGATAATAATATGATTCCCTCCACCGTCGAAACGACTATTTTTTAGCCAATCATGCTTCCGATCGAAGAAACATTTGTTCATATTGAAATTATTTTACGTGACAAGAAATTAATTCTCTCCATTTGTTTATGTTAGAGGAGCTATTTATTTGATTTAAATAAAGTGTATTGAGTTCAACCTTTTTACAGTGTAAACGAACAATTTGGTTACACTGTTCAAAAAATTGAAATTCCATTGACATTTGACTACTAATTTTTAGGAGAGTGATATCGAATTCCATTTAAAGAGAAGAAAAAACCATGAAATTTCACATTCTACTGGAAATTCAAAGGAATTTCGAAATTCCGTGAAATTTCAGAAGAAAGTGAATTTTCAGATTTTAGTGAGAATTCAATGAAATTTCAAATTTTTGAGCAGTAGGATAACAAGAATTCCCCTTTACGTAAATTTTAATCAAAACATGAATATTCAGTACCAAATTACGCAGAAATTTTAATGAATTGAAAATATTAAAAATGTTCAAGAATATATTCACCTGAATATTCCTGATTTCTATTAATTCTCAAGGAGTAATTGGGCTAAAAATCATTGATTTCAGTGATTTTTCCATGAAATTTTGAAAATTCAGTACAACTATAATGTGACAAAAATGTAAACCAACAAAATTCCTTCATAAGGAAAAAAATACAGGAAGAATTTGACAATTTGACATTTGACCCTCGACATTTCTTGCGATGAGCACGCCATTATTACGTACCCCAGGGTTGAAGAGTTCGCGAAAGTCAACCCCAAATTATGCCTCTTGCCAATGTCCTCCACCATCTTCTCCATGTCATCAATGAGCTCGCAGTAAGCTCTCCTCGCCACATCCAGAGAATCGCTAATCCCAACTTTTATCGCAAAGCATCTGTTGTAATTCGAGGAGGTGTACCCCTTCACAGACTGCGCTTCAGGGTGAATGAACTCGGAGATCTTCTCCCTCATGAACTCAAAGTCCTTGTTCATCAGGTGATCAGCGACTTGTTTGAAGAAGGGAGAGACTGCAGTCTTCAAAGCTGCCTTCAACTCTGGGATTACGCTCAGTGTGTGTTTGAGGAGAAGAGCGTAGTTTAGACTCCTCTCTGCGCGTTCTATTGTGTCACTATGAACATATTGAATAACTTGATAGAAAAACCAAGTGAAAAAAAAAAAATTCGCTGAAATTCTCGATATATTTCTTCGAATTTTTATCACATTGTAAGTCCCTCGAAATTTCTACGAATTTCGTCGTTGATGATTCTGAATTTTATGGAACAATCAATGGAAACTGTAAATTTCAAGTGAATAATTCCACGAAAAGGAATTGAAATCAGAGAATTTCGAGTCTATCAATTAATTGAATATTCAATTCATTGGAAATTCAATTAATTTGGGGAATTCTCATTCCCTACTGTTGAAAAATTTGGAATTCGACTTTACACAGCTAATTTCGTTCTGTTTAAAATAAAAATTTTCACCATTCATGTGAAATAGGTAAAAAAATTATGCTTAAAATGTTGAAAATATATTTTCCATTCTTTCAGAACCATTTTTCGGGCTATTTTACATAAATGGTGGATTTTTTAATAAAAAAAATAACGAAATTAGCTGTTTAGCAGTTGAACTTCAAAAAACTAATTCGCAATTATTATTGTACACATTTTTTCAAAAATTTTGGAAAAAAAAGAAACCTCCGTAGCTCTAAAAGTCGAGGCCCTAGACTATTTTCAACATTTTAAGCGCCTGCGGGACAAACGAATAATAAACAATTAATTTTTTTTGCACTAATTATTCATTTCTACAGACGAATTGATTAATAATTTAATTGAATTGATTTTTTCCATAAGATTTCTTAATTGAACATTTCCATTAAAAAAACATAATTTACTGAAGTTCAATAGAAATTCAATAAAATTATCTATCGACTGGATTCTTCACTGAAATTTTCCTACGCGTGGGGATGTTGAGTCGCGAAATTCAGGAGCCGATGGACCCCATAGAGTCTCCTGATGGCCGGATGGATGATGGCGTACAGCGATTTATTGGAGACGAGTTCGCTGACGCAATCCTGACGTTTCTGAATAGCCGAGAGGTCGCACGAGGGCTGGAGGATCGACGCTCGGAGGAGTCTCCTTCCCGCCGGGGTGGAGCAGCGGTCAAGAGCCCCGAGAAGACAAAAGTTGTATTTATTTCCGTAGCTGGTCACCAGCTCAAGGTTCTGGGCACTCTCAAGGTCGATCATCATGGCGTTCTGCGCCGCCTGGTACTCGAATCTCACTGAATTCTGGGTGTAGACAACGTGCTGAATGCTCTCGATGTACTTGAAGAGGGTGCAGACTGCGGAGAGAGCGTAGTACTTGGGCTTCACGATGAGCTCGATCGACGAGAACTCGTTTGTGCAGTGGGTTTGGATCCTTTCGAGACCTGTTACGGCCTTCCAGTGGATTCTGGAGATCTCGGTTATCTCGACGGTGGGAAAATGGGTCTTTATGGCGGTGTAGAGACTGTTGGGGTCCTTCTGATCCTTTCCCATTGTGTCTGGTATGAGAATCTGTCAATCCATTTCACAAATTCGTGGGATTAAGGGAAAATTACCTGTTCTTTCAATTAATGACGTGATGTTAATTAATGACATGATGTTAATTAATGACGTGACGTCAATTTTCGTTATCTATTGCATCAGAGTGTTGACGACTGATGAAGTTAATGATATAATGAGATATCTGATCTAACTCAGCTATTCGAATTGTGTAAAACTGTAGAATCATCAATGAAATGAAGAATTCTATTGTATTTTATTCGACTCATGAACGGGGTCGGGTAGTCTAAGCTACTGATGATGTTGATTTAAATGATGATGTTTTTAACGAGTGCCAAAGTCATTTTCAGAAATATCTGGGATTCGATAAGATTGATTTCTGGTCTGGCAACAGCTCTGTGAAATTCAGTGTAAATTAACGAATATGAATAATATTTACTCAAATTATGCGTGAATTCTTCATAAAAGAACATAGAGTAAACATTTCGTTTTGATACGAAATAATTGCAATAGTGAAGGAGACTGCAATGCCCCAGAAGATAAGAATAAAAAATTAATGAATAAAAAAAGAAAAAATGCAGATTTTTTTCGTAGGAAATTGATTCCTTGAAAAGGGTTACAAAAAAATTCATCATTTATTTTTCCCACAACTGAGTAATCAATAAAGAAATCAATTTTGATGACGAAAAAAAATTACCTCGACTGGCTGAAACATATGGATTTTCGTTAATGCATTAGCGTACGAATTGTCATCGCTCATTTGAGAAAGAATGATGTGCGGATACTGAAGATCAATGGCTGCCATTCCAACTTCTCCTCTCGCCAAGCCTCGACCGCTCGTTATCGCGAGGATTACGAAATGTTCCTCGGTGCAGGCACTCGGCGAAGAGGTTGCACTAGTCGTGCTGCAAGAATACGTTAATATAAATATTGATAGTCGGTAATGGATATCTTCAGCGTTTCCGTTTTTTTTTTCACCAAAGTAGACGAGAATAACACGAATGAAGAATGGAAAGAGATTGAATAGGACTCACTCTGTTGTCGAAAATCGGGGAATCCCCCTTTTGGCGGAGGAGCTGGGCGTGTTCTCTCGGCGAGCCCCTCTCGCTGCAGTCGGTGTTCGCGGGGTGCTCGTTGACCCCATGTTCACAAGAGACTTTAGAAGCTCTGGGATTCGATACTTGGGGACTAGAGCAATTGGCACCTTGTCTTTCGTTATTTTTCCAATTTTTCCCCGATTTCGGGCGCGATCTCGAGCCCGGGGATTCCCCAGGGTGTTCTCCTGACCAACTACGTTCATTTTCGGGGGTTTTACGGGAAAAATTATGAATTTTACGGGACTTGGATGCAGGAAAAAGGGATTTCTGCTGACTCCGATGGAATCCTTTGTTCTACTGAGGCTAATTAGGACTTCCAGGGAAAATGGCGTCAGTACGGAGGCGGTGGAACAGATGGGCACGGAAATTTGTGGACACATTCCCGGATGAAATGTTGCTTGTAATTTAGTTTGAAGGACGGTCGCCAGAGGCGCTGATGTCTCTCAAAGAATTGTTAGAAATTTTATTTCTTCGTGAGTACAGCTACAATTCTAAATAGAAAATTGTTGAATAAAGAAGGAATATTGAAATGGGAGTGGATGTTTTTCTGTAATTAAATGGTTGATTCATCTTCGCAATGAAGAGTTTTAGGAGAAAAAGTGAACAGATATTTGTAATTAATCAGTTCATAGATCTTGTGAGTTCATAGATCTTCAGACAATGAATAAAATCAAGAAATGAAAAACGAAAAAAATGCAAATAATGAATACGCATTCGCAATTAATGGTTATGAACAGATGCTCATAGTCAGATATTTATTTACAAACGTAATATTTTCCGTCCAACGTGTACATGATAAATTCAAGATAACAGGGTTTTTCGGGGAAAATTATGGATTTTAATGGGCTTGGATGCAGGAGAAAGGGATTTCTGCTGACTCTGATGGAATCCTTTGGTCTGTTGAAGCTAATTATGAGCTTCACATGTTGGGGGGGGGGGGTTGTAAAATCTCAGATGGACACATCCCTGGATGGAATGTTACTTGTAATTTAGTTTGAAGGACGGTCGCCAGAGGCGCTGATGTCTCTCAAAGAATTGTTAGAAATTTTATTTTTTCGTGAGTGCAGCTACAATTCTAAATAGAAAATTGTTGAATAAAGAAGAAATATTGAAATGGGAGTGGATGTTTTTCTGTAATTAAATGGTCGATTCATCTTCTCAATGAAGAGTTTTAGGAGAAAAAGTGAACAGATATTTGTAATTAATCAGTTCATAGATCTTGTGAGTTCATAGATCTTCAGACAATGAATAAAATCAAGAAATGAAAAACGAAAAAAATGCAAATAATGAATACGCATTCGCAATTAATCTGTTCATAGTAAGATATTTATTTACAAACGTAATATTTTCCGTCCAACGTGTACATGATAAATTGAAGATAACAGGCATAAGCTGCAATGAATAAATAATACAATCACAATCCCTATTTCATGTATAATAATTAGTAATCAAATAAATAGCCCCATTACAATCGTCAAATTGTTCAAGGCTCTCAAATTCATTATGTACAATTACTGAATTTATTTAAAAAATGAAGAAAATGAATACATTATTTCTCCGTACACCGAGATAGTTACAGTAAAAACTTTAGATTTTCACTTTTACTCTCATAAAATTTGGCAAGACAAAAGGATATCTCAGGGTTCATTACCTTACATTTCATTAATCATCGAGATGTTCTCAAGCTAACTACATTAATGAGTCGAGGAATTATCATACATTGGTCGCAATTTTTCGATGATTGATCGTTACAATTATCCCTTAAAAATATATATTTTAACTCTCTTAACTACGATTGCTCCTTCACTTTTATATCAATAATCAACGACTTCTCAATGCAATCGCACTATTAATGATTTCAAAAGCAGCAGACGATAACCAGAAACTCGTTTCAATTAATTTTCTCACCTACTTATAACTCTCCTGTCATACGTTATGAATTTATCACATCGTTTCTCTCATATTTTCACCGGTGAAAATAATGGAAATATTGAAACATGAAAATTACTTCGAGCCTCTTCCCTCAAACATCTTTCCATTCAATAATCCGATAATATTACATGAATATTTACAATTCTCCATGGATTCTCCAACAATGCTCCGCACTCTTCTACTTATCTCAAGCTTTTTCATTTGAACATTAAAAGGCAAATGGGAATCCACAAATTATTCCCTCCAAAAACCACCAGAGACTAATTCAATTAAATTCCCTACATTTGTAAAATCATTAAAAAACATTTTAATCGATAAATCATCCACTGAATTATTTAAAAAATGTACTCTTTATATTTACATGGAGAAATGATAAAAATTGAAATCAGGTTTATGATAAATTGCACAATCACAATTCACAAGTAAATGATGTGTATATAATTGACACGTTAAAAACATTTTACCAAAAAGATTTGGTAGTGATTTATAACTTTCACGAGTGAGCTTTGTCAGCCCTATATCTCCTCCACTAATAGTCATCGATTTAATAAATAGAACTCTTCATCTCTCCTTCATCTTCAATGTGACCTTCATGATTGATATTGATTCAGATATGATTGAATGAATTCTCCAGAATTAATGGAATTATGCACTAAAGACTGATCCTCTCGACGAATCAATTAAACATGACTCTCAAGAGGTACTTTAAACACTTTCGACGCTAGATTGGCATCTGGCAGAGATTGTGGTCGTGTATTGGTGACATTAAACACCACATTACTGGGTCCACGAAATGAAACTTCAATGAGAAAACTGGTGTCAGCGACATTGACCCTGTTGCTGCTCAAATCAGGTGAACTAGTCCTCAGCTGACTCTTCTTCGGTTTCGCGTCATTCTTGATGACCTTTTCATTCTCCGACTGGAGTTTATTGTCGAGCCAATGGACCTTGTCAAAGTCCTTGGTGCCACCCACTGTGTGTCGTCGCTTGATGGACCTCTCTGGCATTCCATTCTTTCGCTTCAACTTCGTTGCACTCTCCTTTCTCACTGATTGCCTCCTCTTGCTGATGTTGCACTCGGTTTTTTCCGTTTTCGTTAACGATTCTGAACGCTTCAACTTCGTGTTTGGGGACTCTGAGCGCTCTGCGTGCTTATTAAGACTCTCTGAACGCTTGAGTTTACCATTCGTGGGGGAGGCTAGCCTGTCAGAGTGCTTGTTCAGGCTCTCCGAGCGTTTTAGCTTCGACGAGGCTGTTTCAGTCCTCTTGTTGAGTGATTCTGATCTCTTGAGGCGCGATCTCGACTCGCTGCTCGCCTGGCTCAGGCTCTCGAACTTCTGCAGCTTGTTGGAGTACGAGGGGTCCAGGGACTTTCTCTCGGCGTCCTGGGGCTGCTTAGACTCGGCGGGGGGTGCTGTCGTCTGATCCTCCTTTGCCTCCAAGTGTTTGGTCTTCGGTGTTTCCGTTTTTGGGTGCTCGTCCTTCTCGGTTGCGTCCAGCAGGGATCCACCGTCCGAGGAATCCGTTCCTGCTGTGCTCGTGTCCGCCGGACGACGAAGATTGAGATCGTTGTTCGGGGTTGGGGCGTCACGTTTCGATTTCTCGGGGGGCTTCAGGAGGGGGGAACTCTGGAGTTTCTCTTGTGGATCCTGAAATGTTTTGAGGAGTTGAAGAATAATTTTATTCATTGTTTGAAGTATTTGGGACGATAATGGTGGTTTTTACGTGAAAGTAGGGGGAATTAACGAATTCATTCATTTTATTTTTGGAGAAAATGACATCGAGATGATGGCGAATCAATTTATTTTATTATGGAAGAATGAGTTGTTAAGCTACAAAAAGGGTTTATTGACATTTCCCCAAAAGCTATTCGAGAATAACATAATTAAGAAAGTTAAATGGTATCAGCGATTTTTCCCAGGAGGAAGTGTAATTAGCTCTGTATTTAGTGATTTTAATTTTGAAAATATCAAGAATAGGCTTTTTTAGCTTATGAAATTCTCCATTAAAATGATTTCAGACTCATGATCAAGATAATTTAGTGTTCAGCTACAAAAAGGGTTCATTGATATTTCCCCAAAAGCTATTCGAAAATAACATAATTAAGAAAGTTAAATGGTATCAGCGATTTTTCCCAGGATAAAGTGTAATTAGCTCCGTATTTAGTGATTTTAATTTTTAAAATATCAAGAAACAGTTTTTTAGTTTAGGAAATTCTCCATTAAAATGATTTCAGACTCATCATCAAAATAATTTAGTATTCAGCTACAAAAAGGCTTTTTTGATATTTCCCCAAAAGCTATTCGAGAATAACATAATTAAGAAAGTTAAATGGTATCAGCGATTTTTCCCAGGAGGAAGTGTAATTAGCTCCGTATTTAGTGATTTTAATTTTGAAAATATCAAGAATAGGTTTTTTTAGCTTATGAAATTCTCCATTAAAATGATCTCAGACTCATGATCAAAATAATTTAGTGTTCAGCTACAAAAAAGATTTATTGATATTTTCCCAAAAGCTATTCGAGGATAACATAATTAAGAAAGTTAAATGGTATCAGCGATTTTTCCCAGGATAAAGTGTAATTAGCTCCGTATTTAGTGATTTTAATTTTTAAAATATCAAGAAACAGTTTTTTAGTTTAGGAAATTCTCCATTAAAATGATTTCAGACTCATGATCAAAATAATTTAGT